ATTATACATGAGATCGTATTATACATGAGATCGTATTATACACCAATAAATACGGTAATTAATTGTTTCCCCATCAGAGTGTGCACCGCAAAGACTGAAGAATCCAAAGGTCTGTCTGAAATTAGTGGTAGCAAATACAGGATTAGATTTTTTTATGCTTTAAACAAAAGAAAAGATTGCAGTATACATGAATAAATCTGGCAGTTGGTTCTTAAATGTTCCACAGTGGTCCAGCCTAGGCTGTTTCCACTCACTGGCATCTGTCCTGACATTTACAGATGCCCAACAGTTGTACTGTTATTGTGCGACATCTCACCCTAATACCTCTGTCTCGACAGCTCCCAGCCCCACCACTTCAGTCACACACTTGGCCACGAAGTGTGTGGACACAAGCAAGTACAGAGAAGACAAGAAGTGGTTCATGCCTTGGGGTCCTAACCAGTGTGACAAGATCCGGTCCTTCGATGAGGCCATGAACAAGAGGATCGAGGCCAACAACATTGTATTTGCTGTCCACATTCCAATGCAAGAAAAGGAGATGAACCCGTGGTTCCAGTTCTTGCTGGTCATCCTGCAGTTTGACATCGCGTTTAAGAAGAACAACCATATCAGTAAGAAKCAAATAAACAGATGGAACAACTGTTAAAGCTTGTATAGGAGGTCGTTTTGGTAAAAGTGCTTCAGAATTTCTCTTTCTGCTGCATTTTTTGCATATCTGGAGTTATGTAAATATTGTTTCACAATCTAAGATAAAATGTCAACAAAACCTTGTAACCAAAAGCTTTGTAACTAAGATATCATTTGACCAACACCCTTAGCCATGTGTATACGTTCAAATCATGAATTCAAGTGCAATTCCTGCCAAATGTCACATATTTCAAATATTTTTTGTGATTTTATTTTTTTATGTTCATTGTCAAGTTCTTATTTTAGGGTATTGAATTTATTCACTCACCAAACAAAGACAAAGGTCCTGATTGTTTTTGTCTCATCAGTTTCCAGGGTTTTGTTGACATTCTTCTCAGACACATTTAAGAAAAGTATTGTGTTTGTAATGGCAATATTTATTCAACYAAGACAGAAATACGTGGTCTATACATATAAAACATATAAAAATGAGTCTCTTTGGCATCCAGTTTCTGCTGTTCTCAAACTCTGTTTAAAGCTGCTAAAAGAGGTGATGCTACAGGAACTGTAGCTGGGTAATTTATCGTTTGAGCTCATCTAAACACTACAGACATTCGTCACTAGGATTGTTTCCTTCAGTGGAAATGTGTCAAGAATTTCTGTGTTGTTTACAGGTCGGTTCACTGATAAACAAATTAGTGATGCAGCCAAATCCACAGACAGATCCTGTTGCCAGATGCTGCAGACTAATGAATGTTTTTTTATGAAATCCTTTTTAAGTGTTTTGAGCCAAGGTGCATTCTTAATTGAGATGTGAAAGGTTTTTTTCCCCAAATATAAGCCATTATTTTTTAAAAATAACATTGAGTAATCATTACAGTTTTGTTTTTAAGTTCAAGTTATGCAATTATTATATTTCTTTTATGCTGACAAATTTGCTTTGTTAAAAAAGCAATAGATTTATGCATCAGCATTTAAAAAAGCAGATTTATGAGCAGCTCCAACCTCCTAGTTTAATATGGCAACCTTGTGCATTAAAGTAYCTGCAGTAATAAATTAGTAAAGGTTTTTCCAGGTGGTTTGAATCTCATTAAATCAGACTGACACTTCAGAGAGAGGGATTGATTTAATCAGCTGATGTTGTCCACTTGAAATAATGGTCAGTGGACATGAACGTACCTGTCTGTTCTTTATCTGTAAAGACCCTGTCACACTAAGTTTTGTCAACAATGATAGATGTCTACGCTGAAGATGGAATAAAAAAAATCTACTGGGACACTCACAGACATATAGTACACACCGTAATGCTAACGGTTGGCTTGAATTAATGAGTGATTTATTCAGAACACAGTTTGCACAAGTCAATATAAGTTGTCTAAAATGGTATAGTGTAACAGATCCTTTACCAAATAGGAAGATGAGGCTACAAACAACCAGCTAATACCACCAGCTAACACCACCAGCTAACACCACCAGCTAATACCACCAGCTAACACCACCAGCTAATGCCACCAGCTAATACTACACCAAACACGTTTCCAGCATCAAAAATACATCCAACACTTGAAGTTGGATGCTTGTGTACTTTGAGGTCAAATGCTTTTCATTTGCTCGAGACGCACTTGGTTGTTTTCCTCATCTGCCAGTCTCTGTTTAATGGAGGAATCTTTATTTTTTCTGAAATAAAGAAAGTGACTTTTCTTTAATTACTGAGAGCAAGCGAACGTCACGCACTCACCAGATAATTAATTCATAATTAAATCATCAGATAATTCAGAGCCGGTCTGAATTTGGTGAGTTTCATCACCCAGGAGCTGCGAGCTGATGAGGCTCGCTTTCAGAACTACTTTTGTCCCAAGCTCCTTGTTTGAATTTGTTAAATAAAAAACTTGGTGCTGTGCACGTTAACGCAGTTGTTTATTTCTTTATATTTCTTCATCTGATCTCTGTTCACTGGGCAGCTAACACACACACAGACACACACAAACTCGGTGGTAATGGCGGGAAGTTGGGATATAGATCAGGGGTTCTTAACCTTTTTGACCTCGGGGCCCAATTTGTTGAACATAAAGTGTCACGAGGRCCAGTCAGACATTACTAATGTATGGATCAAAATAATAATTATTCTAAATCTTGGTTTAATTTGTACTGTATTTGCGTTATAGCTAAATTAAATACACTTACAGTTTAAAAGTAAAACTCCTGTCAAATAATCACAAGACATGATTATGACAAACATTTTTATATTATAACCTGCCCATAACAATTATTTGAACAAATACAAAGGTCAGCCAACAGACCACTCAGGCTTAGCAACACAAATATATATATTTTTAACATAAAAAATAAAAAAAATTGACAATTCAATAAATAAAATTGTGGTCAACAATAACAGTAACAGCTTTTTGACAAGTTTAAAATTTCTTTAAAATACAATT